CTTCACGTAATATTGCTCCGTCGACTTACATAGCTGAGCTATATGAGCCAAGTTGAGCTGAAATACGATTTAAAGCTGCAGTATAAAACCAAGAATATTATGTAGCAACGAAGAATTCGTTTGAAATTCGCCAAGTGGTTCCAACAGAAGACAGAAAAAAAAAAGGGGAAAAATATTTAAAATATCCCGCTACCCTACCCTCTCTTCCATCACTGGCCTTGAGCGCCTTGAGGATGTGATGGGGAGAGTTCAAAATTCGATAAAGTAGACGAAATAATACTAACGACAAAAACGAAGAAGATTTGGGTTTGTTAAAGTTGCTAAGAGAGTTGCTGTAATTAAATGATTATGGAAAATAATTGAGCCTGTATTGTGTCAAAAGTCTTTGTCTGTTTAGCCGCATTAAACATGTGTAAGAGGTGATATCTGCAGCTCTTGGTGGTAAATATATATGTGTGAATATATTTTGGACTGGACTGGATACAGTGTGCAAGTAGTAGAATCGGGTCGTTTGCGTTTGCTTAACCGAAAATCTTGTCAGAATGTGGTGTTTGAATTCAACATCTCTGAACTTATCACAGTACACGGTATGCCAAATATACTTCTTACTATTATTTTCATTAGTTACGCTGGAATGTGAAACACTGTTATTTAAGAGTTTCATACGACAGGAGTTTAAGGACGACAATTTACACTCTCACCAGAAATAAATATCTAGGAACGGAAACAGAGATCATGAAACACAGAAGGTTTCGTCCTTCTGTTTTCCATGTTGCGTGCATACACTTATGGGAACAAACGTACGAATAATTGAGTATATCCGTACTTTCATATTGAAATTGTAGTCTATTTTTCCACAGTAGACAGGCGGGATTCTTAAAAGCATAATTTATGTACTTTTAAAGAAGCCCTAGTGAACAGTTTTGATGATATTACAAACTGGGCACAGAATACAGTATCTTTATATTAATATATGAAGCATGCCTACCAAAAACATACAAAAACTATTTGTAGGGCATGAAGTCATAAATACAGTCACTTATATTTTTGTCATTTTCTTCCATAGATTGGCTAAACAAAACAATTGCTAATTGCTAATATTTGCTGCAATTTTATTTCTAATATTTTTTTTTACAGAAGAGAACTAACAAGTGCTCTGACATTTCTCCATTCCTTATCATTATGATACAATATATGAGTGTTTTTTGGCTCTACATAAAGAATTGTAGGGGTAGTTGTGGTATGGCCCACTTTCAGAGTTTGTAAATAATAGTATCATTTCAGTCAGCATATCACAAATAAACAATAAAGTTGCTCAGCTGTATTCTTTACAGTTGTGGATCAGGTTGATATGTAGTATTAAGAACTTGAATATTTAATTAAATTGAAGAAGATAGGATTGACTGGCTTGTAAGAAAAAATATATATTTGACTTTTTTTATTAGCTGTAAGGTTAGAATAAGGGAAAGGCCAGCTTGAATCAAAACCAGATCAGATAAAAATTTATTTTAGTATATATTCATTTGGGTTAGATTACAATAAAATATGTTAGATTTGGGGTTTCTCACAGGGTGATTATGAGGAATACTGTCATCTCTGATAACGCCCTGTAGTAATACATTATGGCTATTCACACCTAAAAGACTGTGTAATCTAGTCAAGATTTGCTGACATTTTGAAAGAATGTACTACCTTCATTTTCAGTATTGAAGAGTAAGGGAAGGAAGAGACAGGTGGTAAACAGAGTTGTGCTGGTCTGCTTGCCACCTGCTTCTTGCTGGTTTCTTGTTTGGCTCACTCATAAGCCCTGAAGAAGGAGGCAGTATGTTCATCTGAAACATTGATGAAGTCCTCTTGGACTACACTGCATTACATCTCACACAGTTTTTATTCATCTTAATGTAATCTAATATTTCTGACTGGAATCAGCTACTACAGTGTAAGTTGAGATTATTGCCTGCATAATATTTTGAAATAGTTACACTGTTTAGTAAATAGGTTGTAGTTATGCTCACAGAGTTGTAACTAATCTTTCCTGTCATGGACATATGTTTATATTTGTCTAACAAATGCAGATTCGGTGATAGGTCAGAATAGATTTACTTGGGTTATGTTAATTTAATGTTCGTTATATTTATGTTGGACCGCCTCTGTGGTCTAGTGGTCAGAGCTCCTGGCTACAGATCCAGAGGTCCCGGGTTCGATTCCCGGTTCTACCAGACTTTCTGAGAACTAGTGGATCTGGTACGGGGTCCACTCAGCCTCATGAGAATAACTGAGGAACTGTTTCAAGTAAATAGCGGTTCCGGTCTAGAAAACCGAGATTAACGGCCATGGTAAACCGTTGCGCTGACCACGCGACACCCTCTATCCGCTAAAGTTGGCACTAACTTCACCGACAAGCGGTGGTCGCTAGGTCGGTATAGTTCGCTTGGTTGGTATACTTCGCTTGCAGACTACAGGCCACGGAGTTTGTTTTATATTTATGTTGGGGCTAGTAAGTCAAAATAAAACAAATTCTGCTAGAATCTGGGAATGTTATGTGCCTCAGTTATGTGAAAATTACAGTGTTCTGGGATAATGTTGATGTGTAGCGTGGTAGATAAGTACCCACATTTTAGAGCAAAATGTTGCTCCATCTTCAGGACAGGAGAATAAGCTTATTCTTCTGTTAATAATCACTGCTGTGAGAACCTCAAAGCTCACAAGAAACATTGTTTTCTAAAGTTGTTGCATGTTGTGTTGAGTGCGGATCCATAGAAGATTTGAAAGTGGTGCTTTCTTTCAAAATTAAACATAGAAAAAAAATTGTGTTAAGACTTCGAGAAAATCAAAGATTGAAACTGGACCCCTGAAGAAATAGAGCTGTTTTGTAAGTTCGTGTAAGAATAATTCACTTTGGCAGCAACAAGTGAAGTAATATTCTTTGTATTCATCAGCAATCTGCATAATTTGTGGGTCTTCTAACAGTGGCAGTCTGTTTCTGTCTTCAAGAACTTCTGCTGAAATAATTAAAACATTAACTGTTGTTTTGTGTTCTTTATTTTGTGTAAGTAACATTGATTGTTGTATTAGAATTTGTTTAATAGGCTGGAGTACAACATAAATTAATGTTAATTCTTATTTTAATCTGTGAATAATTTTATTGTAAATATAAAGTGATGTAAAATAGGAATGTTCTAAATTTCCCTTTACTATCAGATACACCATTATATTTTTATATGGCCATCATGTTTGGGCACATTTCCACCGGCATAGGAAATATAAGTCACAGAAATATGCTCTTCTGTTCAAATCACATTTTCAGATTATGAAATTTTATATAAACATGTCTTATCTATTAAATCACAATAAAGCTTCTTCCTGAACTCATGTCATTTTCACCAAGTTCTTACCTTATATTCACCTTTTTCCCAATAACCATCCAACTCCATGATACTGAGCCCTTGAAGAGCCAACAGTTGCTCAGCCACTTAAGAATTTTGTAGCATTTTATAGAACCCAAAAGTTCTTTACCGTGTTCACAAGGTCCTGCTACTGGTCACAATCATGAGCCTGATGAATCCAGTGCACACCTTTTCATCCTGTTTCTCCAATACCCATTTTAATATTCTAACTAAGTCTTCTTAGCGGCCTCTTTCATTTTGGTTTTCCTACCAAAACCTGGTTAGCACCATTCTTCTCATAGAGTAGATCTTTCTAATAGTATTTGATGAGGCATACAAGTTATGAACACAAAGCTCCTCATTATGCAGTTTTCTCCATGGTCCTATTATTTCTTCCCATATATTCTCAGCATCTTGTTCTCTAACAAATTAAGTTAGTGTTCTTCATAATATAGGAGACCACATTTGACTCCCATACAAAACTACAGGAAAAAATTCAGCTTTGTATACTTTCATCTTTATGTTTTTTAGACAGTAAGTGTGAACGCTAATGATTCTGAACTGAATGGTAGCAAGTATTCCACAAATTTAATCCATGTTGTCAATGTGTCTGCAATGATTTTCTTTACTTATTACCATGTTTTCCATCTATCTACTGTGCATCTGTAGATCCTATATATAGCTGATTACATACATGTTATAAAAGAAATGAGGACTTATGTTGTATAATTGATATATATCAAATGAACAGCATAATTTCACTCAAAAATGTAACCAAGTTTAACAGGCCAATGTAATCTGCATTGTTTATTCCCTATTTATTTAGATCTTCAGTTGTAAAAGTGCTGACACTGAAGCTTATTGATTCACAGTGCATGGAAATGACTGAAGTAGTGGGAGGAAGCCATGTACTAAGGCTTATGGTGTCCAAACACCAATAGAAAATCAGATTTAGGTCTTTGGGGTTGTGACATCATGTAATCTTGTAGGTGGGTACCAGTATTTCAAAGGCATGTGTTGCCTTTTTTATTTACAATTGAAATGTGTTGGTTGAGGAATTAGTTATGTATAAGGGTTGCAAGTTAGGCGATTGATGGGCCCATGAAAGGTGTAAAGAAGTGAAGCACCATCTGGGCCCTTGGGAATGGTAGGTAGGAAAGCATTTGCTTTGGGAGCCCCACTGTAATTTTTGTCATAGAAGGGATATGGAAGTATGAGAATAGATAGTCCTTTTCAATCCCTTTGTGGATAGGAAGTGAGGGATTGCCTTGGGCAGGGGTTTTATTATTATTATTATTATTGGAAGGGGTGGGTTTCCCCATGCCCTGCAACTAATAGTCTGTTGTACGTCCCCCTTTGATATTCTACCAGTCGCCATACCCTACTGGTACTGGTGCGTGCTATCAGCCCCATTCAGCCAACGAGGTCAGCCCTCGGTACATGATACTTCCCCCATCTACAAGAGGCATTGAAAACTACTTGGACGGGAAACTTGCCTAATTTTGCTCAGAGGTCTCCTAGAGACATGAGGATCTTTTACGTGCTGTAAGTCTACGACACGGGACCCACGGCTTAAAAGTCCCTCCCGGAGGACTTGTTCCCTGAATTTTTCTGCCCTTAAAAATTCCACGACCTCCACCGGGTTTGAACCTGCGTACCTTGAATCATGAGGTGGGAACATTACCCCTAGACTACGGAGGCCGCTTTGGGCGGGGGTTAGAGCAGTATCAACTCAGAGGAAGTAACTGTCTTATCCTTGAAGAGAAGCTTCTTCCTTTCCTTCAGGCATCGGATAAGCAGCTTCCACAACCCGCTGAGGAATAACCAGTCTCTGCTTATAATTCCTTACCCTACACAACCCTGAAGATGGAGGCTACATGTCCCTCCAAAATGTCAGTATTCACCTACAAGACTGTGCGGTGTCACAAACAAGAAGACCTCTATCTAACCAGTCACTGCTGTGAAAACCTCATAATTTCATTCTTTCATTTCAATTGAACAGTCATTTACAGTAATTTCTAACAGTGGGAAAGATGTCATATATGATGAAGTGCGCCAAGAAGTGGGTGCATATTTGCATGTCACAAGAAGATTTATTAGCATTGTTTTTGGAAGGTGAATCCAGAGATTGGATATCCATTATCCTTTGACAGCGGACAATGTTTCTGTCGACAGGTTCCTATCTGAATAAGAAACAATGGAAGAGAATGGTACTCAGCAGAAGCAGTGTCTGTCACAGAAGATGGGCAGCATGACTGAAGAGTCAAAAAATGCACAACTTGATTCTCATGACTTTATACCAGATCAGAAGCCTAACATGGTACAGTCATCTTGGAAACCATTCGGCTGTGAAACATGTGGAAAGCGATTCACCCTGAGAGGTAGCCTCAGAACACATGAGAAGCTCCATGGCTTTCGCCCAACATATAATTGTGATGTGTGTGGGAAAACTTTTAAAGTAGCAACTGGACTTAAGTCTCATGCCTCACTCCACTCTGGACAAAAACCGTTCCATTGTGACATATGCGGGAAGTCTTTCACACTAAAAGGAAGTTTGAAAACACATTCAGCTCTTCATTCCACAGTGCAGGAATCTTTTCCTTGTTACATATGTAGGAAGACATACAAAGGAAAAGCCAGCCTCAAGTCTCACCTCGCAATGCACACGGGAAAGAAATCATTTATGTGTGAGGTTTGTGACCAACACTCTACCCATAGCAGTCTCCCATTGCATGCAGCATTGTGCTATATCAATAAGCCCCATGTCTGCCAGGTGTGTGGCTTGTCTTTTGATATTAGAAGCCATTTTATACAGCATATCACCTCACACATGCTAATGTTAATGTAGATATCTTCGTTATTGAGTTAGAGACTCAGACTGGAGTACCTCATGGTGGATACTTGCCAATGTCAGTTCTGAGAGCTGCCAATACCAGTGATTCTCAACCTTTTGCACTTGTGTCATGTTGTTACAGAAGAACCTAGTCCCACCATAGTTAAAACAGAACTTTTCTTTCTTTCAAGAAGTGTATTTTTACAATCATTTACGTTTTAGTATTGCAGGTGATATCTGGAAAGTAAAGATACAAAGTTCAGAACATATTTGTAAAGCATTTTTTTCTTGATTCACTTGTAGCACTTTTACAACACCTTCCACCNCATAGTCTTCATGGATCACAATGCACTTAGTGAGCCTGGGAATGAGGGTTTCCCCCCCCCGCTCAAGTATAGTAGAAATCTCCCGCCTGCTCTCTTAGCCATGGAGAACATTTTTTGGATGATTTTATCAGCGACAACCGATGGCCTTCCAATCCTTATTTCATCATGAATATCACTTCTTCCCGCTTGAAATTCACAACACCATTTTGTCACTTGTTGCCTGTTCATAACATATTCGCCATAAACAGAAACAAGTTGGCGATGAATTTCAGCAGCAGCTTCTCCTTTCACGTGAAGAAATTGAATTACTGCGTGAACGTCACATTTGGTGAAATTTTGAATTGGCACGGTGATTTTAAACGCACACTCCGAGCACAGCATTGCCGTGACTGTGGCCAGTAAACTCTGCTGTGTCATACAATTCCTATCCCACACAGCAGCACTGCCATTTCTGAAAGAAAAAATCACTTGCATTTTTACTGGATTTGTATCTTTACTTTCTGGATATTCCTTATACGTATATTAATCATAGTGGAAGTTCTTATTGTCACAACCTCACATCCTACCTAGCTGCCTGTCAAATTCCATGAGTGGTCCTACTGGTTGAGAATGACTGGCTTGCCCAATTTTTCTTACTGTTGAGAATATTCAAGTAATAACTTTCTACCTCCTATATTTTGTTGATTAATTTTATATTTCAGTTTTTCCCTTTATTATTTCTTATTTTTATTTTTTTTAATTATTTATTTTCAGTGAAACAACTGATGGTGACAGCTTAGACATCCACCCTTCCTGACAAACAGTATTCTCGGTATGGATTTTGTCAGCTATGTAACAAAGTGGTTGTCATTCATTTAACTACAGTTAATATTTCCCACTTCTTTGTCCTAGTAATCTCTAGAACAGGTTTTTATGCATAGAGTTCTACTGGTATAGATATTTGCCTCAAAATGTTTAATATGTATTTTTTTTTTTTTTGGTAAAAAGTGATGTATATTCTTTTCATATAAATGCTAAGAAGATGATTGCAACTAGTTGCAGTTGGACGTTGCAGTTAGTCATGCTGTAACCGCAGGAAAATAGTAAATCTTTGTGATATATATCACCGTAATAATATTTGGTACAGTGCAAATTCCGAAAACACTTAAGATAGGATACTGTAATATACAGTATTACAACTCCTGCATTTCGTTTTTGAGAATCTTTTGTGTCACACAGATATAAGCAGTAATGATATCTTTATAAGTGTATGTAGTCTTACATAAGATGAATTGCTCGTGTATAAATCATAGAACATGCATAAAGCAGTTTGGAAACTAGTATAATTATATAATATATAATTATTTTGGTTTATTAATGACAAGTTTTAATGTGATATTCAGATCTGAAATTGGTTTTCACTGCCATTGTTTTCTTTTCATAAACCATATTTTCTGTTCATCTTTTCTTAGTACACCGCCTTGTGCCATCGTTTTCATAGAAAATCAAAAGCATAATACACAACTGTTGTGCATGCATCATAACTGTTAAGTACCTACATTAATGGAAGCATTTTATGCTTAACTTCTAGTAGTTCAGACAGACTTCTCAGCATTATTTTTCAGCCTGCTTGACTTGCACTGTCATAATACTTGAGTTATGTCAATCTTGTTTCATAATTAATCCTGGAATGCTTTATGTCTGTAAAACATCTTACTTATTGGATTCTAAGATTTAAGTTACATATTCATATCTCAGATATTTTACCAGTATTTATAAATTTACATTGTGTTGATTTCATTTACTACAACCATCTACTCTTATTATTTGTGGATGGTAATCAATGGATTTGTTTCTATAGGTATTTGTATGATACTGTCAAAAATGTTTTGTGAAATTTCTGTTAAAACTGTGCAACTTGTGTATTTCTCAGCCAATAAATTTTGTTTATCCTGGAAATTTGTTTATATGTACTGTGCATTAATTAAATTATTTTATTCAGACTGGTGTTAATATGTATATTTTGGGTATTGGTACAAAGCACAATAAATTCTATACACTCCTGTTTGAAGATCCAATGCAGAAGTTTATAACTAACTTCTGACCCTATTAAACTTTTACAACATTAATACAAAATCCATAATTTATCTCAGTTGTCTTTAATTGTTGACTATGCATTATGTGCAAGAAGAATTCTATCAAATAACTCATAATATGGAGGTTGTGTCTTTCTGCATGTTTCATCCACATCTTTATGAAGTTTGATCACTGAAGTATACACCAGAGGAGCTGAGGTGAATTTGATTTTAGTTCCTATTGGTGCAGTACCCTTACTCACATGAAACACAGTAACTGAGAGGGCTCACTCAAGCAGCTTTTATTTTTAATGGAAACCACAAATATTTTGTAGGCTTTTAGGTTATCACAGCAGTGTGACTGTGTCAAGGTCTGTCTTCTAGCTCATAACGCCATGTAGTATGTTGAAAGTAAACTGACACTTTGGAGGAGCATGTCGCCTCCATCTTCAGGCTCAGAATAAGTCAAGCAAGAAACCAGCATGAAGTAAATAGGAAAAAGAGATCCTCCAAATTGCCAGTTGGCTTTGAACAGATTTCATGGTGTTATGTCCCAGAAGATTTAATTTATTTTTATATTCAAGTAGATCCAATACAGGGCGAGAAACAAGTTGACACACCAATGGATATAGAATGTGTCAAAGATCAAAACAAATGTTCCAACCAATCACTGGAACAGGTCAAAATAACATAATATACAACAGACAACACAATCACTAAACATAATAAAATGTGACTACAACAAGACTTAAATACTAGATGAAAACATATTAACCGTTTATCTTATAAAATTCATCCAGTTTATAAAAACAATGCATATGAATGGATATTATCAATAAACAGTACAATATCAAATAATATATGTTACATCACACACATCAAAAGAAAAAACTATAAAAACATCTAACATGCATGAAAAGATAGAAGGCTTTACAAATATTTGGCTTAGTTCCTCATATAGAATTCACAGACAATTAATGAAATAAGATATCTCAATTAGATAAATTAGAAAATGTCACTCTATTCAAGTTGGTAATTAATACATCACAGAAAATAATAATAAAGCACTAATTATGTATGACTTGAATTAAGCCTCAGATATATAGAGTACACAATAATGAAAGACAAATTCTAATACATTTCTATTTTGATGAGATACAAACTTATCGGGTACCACTGCCAGTAGAGGGCCGACCTCGCTGGCAAAAAGGGGAGATAGTGGGCACCAGTATCGGTAGGGTATGGAGACAGTAGAAAATAAACCGGGACGTACAATAGACTATTAGTCGCGGTGCATGGGGAAACCCACCCCCTCTATACTGAATAACTGAATCCTTACAAATTCCCTCAAAGTAAATGACAAGTTTATAACTAGCAGTACAACTCAGCCCTTTTAATTAATGATACATAATCAGCCTATCATATCACTTAGCACTAAATAACTCCTGGGTTGATATATCTTTATTAGCTCCCATTAACATACTTTGATGACTGGAATCCATTTAGCCGGCACTAGCTACTTATTTGCTGTGAAATTATATTGGGTGAGGGTCAGTTTTGTATTAGCTATGCTAGTTACTGCTCAGAATGTCCCCTAGATAATGTCACTCAAAATAGAAATAAATCTGTATACTCTTTAAACTGAGAATTTAGTTTCTTCCCCGGGCATTACTAAAGTAAAGCATGAACACATATAAGATTTGAGGTTTTCACGGTGGTGACTATGAAGAAAGCAGTCTTCTGGGATTTGGCACCGTNTACAATTTCTACAGTAAATTTGTTGTTTCACACCCTCTCTATGTTTGAGAGTGTTGGTTTCCAAACAACATTTCAAGATAATGTGTAGGTATGTTTATGATCTGTTGATGTATCAAATTTCACATGCCTAGTTCCAGTACTTCATTAATTATTGCCACCAAACAGAAAGCTAAAGAATATTTTTGCATAGGTGCCATGTTTTTATATTACTTTCTACAAAAATATTATGTTAACAAAAGTTTTGATTTTCCAAAGATTTATTTTTGTCATTTCAGAATCCAAAATTAAAAATAGAGCTAGTGTATTTCCAACCTCACAAGTGTGTGTACCCACCATGTTGATATTATTAACTGTGGGAAATTAGAAAGTATAACATTGAGGTGTCCTCCAGTGGCATAATGTTCATATGAAGTATCGTGAAATTGGTCACTGATTCAGAGGTTGAAATAGGAGAGACAGACAGACAATGCAGTGAATCATAAACCTACTTTCGTTGAGAGATGAAAATAGGTTTAGAAGCTGCATCAATTTATCAGTTATGTAATAGATTTAATAAGAGCAAAAGTATAATCCAATTTAGTATATGCTATTTTATATACTTCAGTGGCCTTACATATAAAGTATAAAATACTGTTATATTTTCATGAATCCTGTTAGAAAGTAACTACATATATACCAAACTACATAGTGTATCACATCTTGGAATACCATATCTTACAGCCCACTATTGTGATGGTCTGAAATCTCATATTTGAAACTGTGTTTTTATATATAAATGATATTATCCAAACATAAGATGTGATAAATACTTAATAAATCCTAAGAGGTAAAGGATTAATCATATAAGCCTATTCTTAAACTTTAACGAATATTTAAAGTGATATCATATTTGTAATTCAGTTTTCTTCAGGGTTTTTGCCTGTGAAATAAATTTCCCTCTACAGTTTACATGTTTCATATTCTAGGATCAAGAGGCACAAAGGTCTGTTCCCTCTAGTACACCTATTGGAGACGCAAACACGATGCCAAACATGAAACCTGATATAACAGGACAACAGGTGGCTTCATTTGACTTCTGGCATAGGTATGAGTTCTGCAGATTAGGAAAATAACCAACCAGTTGTCAACAGATTAGGCACAATTCTTACTCTTGGGAGCAGTCTTGTAGAAGCTGGTAACCCTTCAGCCAGTTAAAAAATTCCTCATTTTATATGAAGTTTATGTTCACGAGGACTTGCTGTTGGATCTTGTGAGCCTCACAAATCCATTGAATATCATCACACCCTGTTTTTAGCCTACTTTCCTTTGTGTGAGGAGAGAGGAGGCTTGAAACACCCTACTATGTGCACATATGCATGCATTTGAGCTTCCTGCTGTTTGCCGTGTTAACCTGAATATAAGGTGAGGTTTTCTTTCTTCAAAGCACTGCTTCTCAGAAAAGAGGGATCCCCTTATTTTTGGATCCTTATGAGTAAATATGGAGATGATTACAAGGAGTTCTGATTGGTAATTCTAATGGATGTCAAAAAAAGAATATTTTCTCATTTGAAAAAGAGGGGGTTGCATAATATTCAGGTTTATGTGGTAGTTGAGAATTATATATCATCCAGTCTAGTGGCTTGCGACGGGGTGATCACTCGTCCAAGGGGTCCTACCATCTGTGCAAACATGATTATGAAAATAAAAATGAGGCCAGGGCCCAGCAGAGGGCTGTAGATCCATTGATGAATGAATGTATTAATTAATTAAATGTCATCCAGCCTACTATCAAGAAATGTAAGCTTCATTTGTATGTTTTGCATCCTGTTGTGCATGGCAATAGACATATTTACATAGTAAAAATATAAGGTTTGAGCAAACCAAGCTATAATTTTACCTGTTGGTTGGAGAAAATTACTTACTGCGGAGGTACATAATTTATATTCTGGACCTAGTATGAGGTGTATGTGAGATAGATGAGAAATGCATACAGAAATTAAAGTAGCTCTTAAAGAGGTAAGATGGGAGGGTGTGGACTTCATGCTTTTGACTTAGGATAGTGTCAATTGGCAAGCTGTTGTGAAAACTATATTAGACTTTTCAGTCTCCATGAAAGGCACAGAATTTCTTGACTAACTGAACAACTGTTAGCTTTTCAAGAATCACACTGCTGCATGAAGTTAGTTTAGGAACAATTTAAACTTTGGCCAGATGAATGCAATAAATCTATTTAGCCCATTTTTTCCATTTTAGCAGAAGGTAGACGTATGGTATTTTCATGCCCGTGTATATAGATTTTCGTCTTGTTTCCTTGTAGTAACTTTTAATCCAACTGACAGATTTTCATGAAACTTGGTATGGTCATGTCATTGGAGACTGCCTCCACTGTTGTTTTAATTCCCAATAATCTGCAGTATGAACTTGGTGGCCATGTAATCTTTACATGGAACAGGCACCATGTAATATAGGATTCTAAAATGTGTAGTAAAAATATCTTCAGAAAATCTTCAGTGCTTTGTTAAGGTAATTTTCTTTTCAGAATATAACAACGTTGCAACCATGCATAGGTCATATTTAGCTTTCTGTTTGCTGGTAGTGATGAATCTTGTCAGGCTTGGTATACGATGGGGTACCCAAAATAAACCAAACTAATTTTTGTGGGCAGAGCTTTTGTAGTACCGCGTTTTGCCGCTATGAGCGCATAGAGCTAACATTCCTGAGTCGATAAGCGGACTACCGTTGCTTCAGAAGGTAAGGACTAGTTTCGGCAGAGTTTATAGTGACAACTGTTTTGTGTGATTGTCGTTTTTGCAATGGCTGATTTTCGTGAACAGCGTGCGGCGGTGAAATTCTACTTTTTGCTCGGGAAAAGTGGAACAGAAACTCTTGAAATGTTAAAAACGGCATACAAGGACGATGCTATGGGGAAAACTCAAGTGTTTGAGTGGTTTTCCCATTTCAGAAATGGTGAAATGTCAATTGATGACAAACCTCGTTCTGGTCGTCCTTCCACGGCCCGAACACATGAAAATGTTGAAAAAATTCGTGGAATCATCAAGGAAGATCGACGACGGACCATTGAAGAAATTGTGGAGCTGTCGGGAGTGACTTGGAGCTCAGCGGCCAGATTTGTGGCAGTCGGGTGACTGGTTTTTCCATCATGACAATGCCCCTGCTCACACAGCCCTGTCTGTACGACAATTCTTGACCAAAAATGGTATGACCCCTGTTCCTCACCCTCCATACTAACCCGACCTTGCCTCATGCGACTTCTTTTTTGTTTCCTCGAATGAAAAGAGACATGAAAGGAAAAAACGACTGAGGCGCTATCAAGCATCTCAAAAGATGAATTTAGACAATGTTTTGAAAAATGGAATAAAAGACTAGACAAGTGTATTAGTGTAAGTGGAGAGTACTTTGAAGGGGATTGAAGGTTTGTGCTTAAAATTTGAATAAATAAGTTTAAAAAAAATAAGTTCGGTTTCTTTTGGGTACCCCCTCGTAAAGATAAACAAATGCTTACAAATTTGATGTGAAATATGGTTTTCTTTATCAAAACTTACAGGTATAATAATGGAGAATATTTTGAGTGGATGTTTAAACTATCTTTTAGGGGGAATTTTTGCTAGTTTGCATTATATGCTGAAGTAGATGACCAAATTAATATTTATTATTTTATAATTACAACTCCCTCATCGACTGCCCAGGCTATGTTCCTGAAAATATGGTGGTTGGCAGGATCGGTTCCTTACTGGAAATTTGGGGTTATGGGAGTTGCAGCTACTGCTAATATTCATCAGATCCTAAGTGAACACAATATTTTTTTCATAAAACATTAAGCCACTTGGGATACCTAGGTGGAATTCAGAAGCTAATATAAAAATTAGTCATATCAATAGGTTGTATGTGGACTGGATTCATCTGGTTATTACAGCCATGTCCTCTGGATCTTTTGATGTGGAAGTCACCAATTTTTTCTGTGTGTACACAAACTGAAAACCATGGCTGCATAAATCCAGATACCATGGTTGACAAAATCATCACTAGCACCCTCACCATATAGAGGGACATATTTAAAGGAAATAATATTCATAAGTTTTCCTATAACCTCTTGTCATTAATTTTGAACCCAAAGTTCTCCAATTCCATTTTACACAGTATTCAGGATGGAGCCGTCATCTTATTGCTAACCCTCTGTCACCGTTTCAGGTTTCCTCAACTGTTTCATGGTTATGATATTCCTGAAGGAGTTTCAGCCAGCCAGCCTGTAGTTGCAAGAGAATGTACAAAGAAGGAAATATATGTCAGTTGTGAATCTCCAGGCGTTGGTATGCTGGCAGCAAGTCACAGTGATGACATGACATTTTACATAGGACAGAGCCTGGTTCACAAATATGGTAGAAATAAGGCACCACTTTCTTTGCGTAGCAGACCGTTTGGCTGTGAAACTTGTGGCAAAAAGTTTACTCTTAGGGGCAGTCTCAAGACCCATGAAAAGCTTCATTTATTCCGGCAGTCATACCACTGCCATGTGTGTGGCAAGACATTCAAAGTGGAAGCCGGGCTCAAAGCCCACGCAGTGTTACACACAAACCACAGACCATTTTTCTGTTTTGTATGTGGTAAAGGTTTCACCCTCAAGGGTAGCCTAAAAACACATCTGACACTACACTCTGTTCATCGAGCAACTTATCCATGTGACATGTGTGGGAAGACATACAAAGGTAAAGCAAGTTATGACTCACACAGAGCCCAGCATTTGGGTCAGGCATTATATCAGTGTGAAGTTTGTGGCAAGAATTTTACTCTGAAGGGAAGTCTTAAGCTCCATTCAGTGCTACACTCAGGCATGAAGCCTTATGCCTGTCAGATCTGTGGGATGGGCTTTGCATTACGTAGTCATCTCACACGACATTTCCGAATGCATAACCCTCGATGAAATTGAAGCCCCAGAATGCAGGCTTTATAAATGCATTAAACAAAGTTCATAAAGATCCTAAGTACAAATAACATAATAGCTTAAGAATATCATGGCCTCATGGCCCAGTACAATATAATCAGAAATGTAAGGCAATTTTAAACACATTATTATACCAACACAAAATTGTTTTCGTTGTGAAATGTTACAGTAGGAGCCTATGGTGACAGACCTCACGTTGACAGTGCACTTGAGATGTCAGTGAACATTTTGAAATGTAAATTCTAAAGGGTTCTGATAGTGTATTACATATATGATTACTGGGTTATTAGGCTTTGTTTGTTGTCTGGTATTCCAAACAGAACATTTTTCAGAAACAAGGTCTGTTTCCTCTTCAGGTGGAAAGGCTTGGAAGTAGATATATCCAATAGAAAGAGTTGCTCTCAGTACTGTACCTGCTTCTAACAGAAACCTCTTCTAGGTTATGTCTGTTAACAAACAGCACTTCTCAATTAGAAGACCTGGTTCTCATGGACCCAGCTGAATAGGTGAATCCTTACTTTCTTACATGAGGACAGAAACAGATCCTGTTTTTTAAATATTATGGCACTATGCCATGAAGACATATGAGGGAGTGGATGTATAGATCCATGTATTCTTGACCTTGAAGAACCATTTTTGATACATTTATCATACATCTATGGCCACATAACAACAACAGACACAAGAAAATTAACAGATCTCTGAGATGCACTATTACAATTTCTCCATTTACATACATTTTATGGTATTGATGAATTTTTTGATTACACGGTTAAGGAGATTGATAATTGATTTTATTGGGATTAAATACTTAATTAATGAAAAGTTAAATTACAAGTTTTATAATTTTAAAATTATGTTTACATAAATATTTTAACATGTATTATATTTTTTGTAATTATTATATTTAATTGTTATATTGGACTATTGTCTATATCCTGAGTCTTACGAACTTGTAAAGGATTTTTGACATGTAAATGAAATGAAATGAAAAATGAAATGTTAGAAAAAATATAGCTTGCACATCTATACTCTTGTAGGATTTGAGGTTCTCACAGTGGACTTTATGAAGAATTGTATCTTCTGGAGTATAATGCCACATAATGTGTCGAAAGCAGGTAGCAAGCAGACCTGTGCTTGCTGCCTACTTTCTTGCTGGTTTGTTGCTTGTCCTATTCTTCATCCCTGAAGATGGCGGCAATGTGCTCCTCTTAAATGTCAGTTAACTGTCAACTGTCTGCATGGCGTTATATGCCAGAAGATCTCATCACTTCATGTGTACTCTTCTTATACTGTGACACAGTTGGTATTACTGCAGACAGTGAAGTTTCTCTAGTTACGAGTCATTTGAAAATGCAGTATCTAACAAAACCAGTGCATCGCATACCAAGATGTGTATATAATCAGTGGACTGATGCAACACTGATCATAAGAACCCAGTGATGATAACATGAACAGTGCCTGAAAATAAGATCTAAAAGTTTGTGACAGTGGTATCTCCAGACTGGGATAAGGACTAGCTCTATTGGGCCAAGTAGTTCCTACCTGAAGACAGAAACAGAATCCAGTCTCCAAAATGTTGTGTTTTCAAAAATAAACAGGACGTTTTTTTAGATAAAAACAAGACGAATAGTGTTGAAAAATGTAATATTTGTACTAGCGCCTGAAATTGTTGGATACTGCATTTTCACATGGCTGATTGGCAAAGATAACTTCATTGTACACAGTCGCTGTGAAAGCTTCATATATGTTTAGAGCTTCCAGAATTTGTGAAAGTGTGTAGAAATTGTAATCCAACAGTGGTATACTTTTAAAATGTCATGGAATCAAACTGTAGATGTTTTATATATGAATAATATCCAAACCAAAACATTGTGTTTTAGATGCTCTGCAGCTGCACCTAAACTAACAGTGGAATTTAGCACAGTAAAACTTGTCATTTTTGGACACATATTTAATCCTGGAAGTGTCAGGTTTAATTTTTTCAGTATCAAGCTGCCATTTTAGTTTGCCAGAGATACGCCTCTTTTACAGCTAAATAAAATATATAAACTCTGCCCAAGATCTTAAAATATTTGGAAAAATTCCCCCCTAAATTTTTCTTTGACTATGTAGTTCAGATAAAATGCCAACATGCTGTCAAATACCACAATTTTTATATTACTCAAGATTTTTAACATTTGGCACCTGTCAGATTAAATATGATAGGCAAATGAACAATGAACAGTTCAGTTCCATGAGAAAGTGATACCATCCCTCAGTGTTCCATAAACTGTATGCCTCAGTATGCTAGTATGCTGTCAGGATATTACAGTTGTAGTGAAACTTTAACAAAAATGTAGAACATGATTCCATTTATAGATATCAGATGCATAAGGCAATAAAGTAATCTTTAAGGACATTAGTTAAATACAAAATGTATTACCTGAATTTTTATGTTTTTTATACATTATACAGCTGGCAAAAATGATGATTTATTCCAGGACTGAAATATTTAAATGTTGAAAATAACTTAAAATATGTAAGTTTTGAGGTTTTCACGGCGATGACTATGAAGAAAGTCGTGTTCTGGGTTTTGGCGCCGTGTATTCTCCGAAACATCGGCCAAAACGAAGAATACACGGTGCCAAAACCCAGAACACGACTTTCTTCAACTTAAAATATGTTTACAGAATGTAGTCAGTATTTTAACTCATTGACTCTCACAATCAGTGGCATACACTCTTCGAGTCATTTAATTTTAGTCAGAAAACCTGTTGACAAGAGACCACTTGGTAGACTCAGGAACAGGTGAGAGGATAATATTAAAATGGAGTTTATACACATGGGATGTGAGAATGTGGACTTGATTTGAACTGACTCAGTAGATGCCCATTAGCTTGCCTTTGTAAACACAGGAATGTTCAGGTCTCATGAAAGGAGAGACTGTTTGACTAGATGACTTGAATTCTCAAGACTGTCTTAGCTCCATAAAATCTGCTAAATTTTATTTTATTCTGGTGATGTATGGAGATAGGCTTAACATATGGATAATGCAACATCATACTTAAAGTCTGCCAATTTAAAATTCACCTATATTAGATTTAGTGTGCTTGTAGGTTATGTTGAACATTTACAAATATAATAACCACAAAATACATGGTACATAATGTAAAATTAAACAGACATTGGGGGGAAAACCTACCAGTGCAATGTTGTGCTGAGTCAACTTTAAAATTAAAACAAAATATTTAACCTGGAATGTTATTGGATGTTCCTTTATTTTATTTTGTCACCACAATAAGAAATCTGGATTCACCATATTGTCAATTTTTATGTGTTTTGTCTCATTGAGTCATCATCAGGTGATCTGACTTGAATGTTCAAATAAAATGATATACAAGCTGACATTTCTTTTCCAGATGCGTAAAATATGAAAGGTCAAAAAGAGACCATAGAAATGTAATTAACAGTCTCAACTGGCAAAAAAAAATAGTATACAGAAACAAAACTAAACAGCACTTACATTAGGTTCAGTTTTGAAATGACCTCTTCCATTTTGAATGCACGTATTACATGCCGCAGTAGTAATCAGGTAGTGCTGAAAATTATTTCAGTATGCCCCTGATACTATCAGCAACTTACATTGTTCTGTCAAGACAATCATCATATATGTAAATTTTACCCAATTCATCTGTTTAGCACTAGGTTGAGTGAAGTACAATTTTCATTTTATTCAGCTGCAAAAATACCATACCATTCTGAAGATGAGGAGTATAAGGCAGGTCACCAGTACACAGTGCAGTGCATATAACCTGTAATCATATAAGTTGTGTCAGCTATGTGTATCTATTGGAGTCTTCACTAGAGATAAGCATGTATATGACCTTTTCTTCTTAATTCTGGCCATTGGTTTATGATATTAAGAAATGAATAAAATTACTTAAGTACTTATTATTCAATTCAAGGAAATATATGTACAGTGTAATAGGTGTGACATTTTTTATTTCTCTTATTTATCTCGAAAGCCATAAGACTCGCAGAAAAGAAATTATATTGGGTATATGTGTTTTGTTTTTCCCTACAGCTTTTCTTCTGATAATTAATTAGTGATTTATGCTGATGAGACATGCAGAAGGATGTAAATTCTCAGTAATTATCTTATTTTAACCAAAATTTGTATGTCAGATTTTAGTAAATCTGCCCAGTATCAAATTTCATGAGAATCCCTTCATTAGTTCTTGAGTGGTTACAAGGGGACAGAGACATGATGAATCTAGTAGGCACATTTTTTTTAACTTTTTGTTGTGACTGTACCAAAGATTACTTTACTTATTTTAGTCTTTCATAGTGGTTAATTATTGATGTTAATTCTGTTCTTGGGTTGTTATACCATGTGGATGTGGGCAGTGTTGCAGACATTTGTGCTTCCATCTTCAAGTAGCTTCTTAACCTAAGCAGCATCACCCACATGCGCATGATGTAACATCCCAAGGACAAAATCAACATCAGAAACTAATTTGTCTGCTTCCTTAAACACAGCTCATGTGTTCATTTGGGATGCCTAGAAATCTGCATTAATGATTTTAGCATGTCTAGTTTTACTGTATTATTGATTCATGAAGGTCAGAAACATGGCATCGAAGCATGGTAAAGAAACATGTAAAGCTGGAATTTTTAAGTGAATAGCAGGAAGTGTCTCTGTGATTATGTGCAGGTGCATTACTGATCTCTTTCCAAGGAAGTAGCTAAATGTTCAGTTATTATTCACACTATTTCCATAATTTTTAAAAGGATTTCTCCTAGGATCAACACTTTAAAAAAAGAGAAGTGCTTTAATTCATCTGAAGGATCATGTTGAGTGACAAAGTTATTATTGTAAATTTAAGGTTGTCTCTTATCTAACAGAAAATGCATTTCCTATCTCATCAAAAGGCTCATCAGAAGATTTTTATACTCATGTTGTACAACAAGGGGGAAACTTTTCTTGGAATTATTTGTTATAAAGAAAATATTTTGATCTAAGCAGGATGAAAGAAGTTAGCAATTAAGAGAGTACATAAATAAGTAATTTATGGGATTCAGGCGCTGCTAATTTTATTGAATTATGTATATAAGTGAGGATATGATGCACTGGTCTTGCAGTTAATATGGTGGTAACAAAAATTTGGTTGGAAAACCTCATGAGAATAAAAACTGCTTTGAAGGTGGAGAGAAAAGAAGAATGGAACATAAAAGAATATGTGCTGATGTGGATGGAATTGGGATGAAATGGAATAGGTTCGAGTCCTGGACTTCAGTATTAACAATGTTGGACCTGTAGGTTGTAGTACCTCAAAGTTAATTTGCCTGTTCGTGTAGTGTGTGGTGGTTGTACTTACGTCTGATAACGTTTCCTAGCAAATGCTAATGTGCTCATATCATCCTTCAGGATGTGTTGCCTTACTCCCTTCACACAGGATTCAATGTATTCATTCCAGTTTAATTGCTTTATGTCAAAATTGAATATGTCACGATCTTCAGGTGTCAGTTTTCCAAGCAGAGATCTCACATTTGTATCATGATATTTCCACTCTCGTAAAGAAAAATACTTGACTAAGACAACATACTTCAGGTGTTCAATTGAATGCCTGATGTGCCTGCATTGAAAGAGTCATCTGTTAATAAGGAAATATGTAAAAGGTAAAGCTATCCCTGTAACAGGCCGTGGAGGCCAATAGGGTTGTGAGACTTGAGGGTCCCACATTTTCTAGACAGTCGGCTCTCAGATGGCAGTGAGGTTGTCAGCCATATGTGCCTGCTGCCCTTTACCCCCCAGGAAGAATCCTGGTACTCATTTCTGTTAGTGGTTGAGTTGACAGCAGGGCCGTATTGCGGCTGGAAGGATTAGGTCAATCGGAAAATTCAGTGACCTCATTGGGATTCGAACCCGTGATCCTCTTGCTTGTAGCATAGTGCCTCAGTCAACTACGCTACTGCATGCCCCTAATAGGGAAATCTGTCACCAAATATTCATTGAATTACCTATATCAGTTTTGAAGTTATCAGAGCAGTGATTGGTTTAGACTCCATCTAACCTTGTAGACGGATACCTACATTTCAGATGAACATGCTGTTACCAACTTGTGGGTTGAACTGTACACAGAACAGTAATTTGCTGCTGGTCTTTGCCAGCACAGTCATTGTAGGTTTCAGGCCCTCTCAGCACCTGTGACCATATTTTTGTTCATGTGTTTTGAAATGGGGCCTCCTCTATGATAAGAGGAGAGATTGGTCTTTCTGTGACTTTCTCTAAGCAGAGCAGTAATTTGCTGCTGGCCTTTACAAGGAAAGTGGTCACTCAGACCTCCTAACCATTCTTACTGCTCAGACAAGGTTCCATATTTTCACCCCCTTCTGTAGGTCTGGCTGACCACTTTCCTTCAGATCTGCATATATAACCCAAATGATTCTTATTCCCATTGATTCAACACTGAAGATAGGCAGCATGTTCCATCAAAACATCAGTATCCACCTACAAAACTACATGATGTCACAAAACAGAACTTTTCACTTGTAAGTAGTAAGCAGCAATAGCAGTAGTAGCAGTAGTAGTAGTTTCTTTGCGAAAGAAAAGAGCTAATAAGCTTGATCTCACACTTCAAAAATTCCAATTTATATAACTTGTATAGCAAGCCAGTGTGCCATGTAGTATCAAAGGCTTTTTCAGTATCAAGGAATACCTCAGCCATGGATATGTTATTGTTGAAATTAAGTGTCACATGCCCCATAAGCCTCATGCATTGCAATGTTGTGCTGTGACATTTGCAGAATTCAATTTGCCTTGCATTAGGCAGGCCTCTTTCTCTAATGTGCCTTTGGGCTGTTTTTAGTATATCTTTCTCAAATATCTTGCCAATTGTGGGGTTATTTATGGCCCATGCTGGGTTTTGGTAAGGTTATCGCATCTGTGTGGTGAATGACTGTATACCGCTGATATTTATACAAGTTTGTCTAATCAGTGCTTCTTCATATCGCTGTGTTATGCAGTAAGTGGGCAAATTCTTAACTCTGCGGTCGCTCACTCATCCTATATGGGAATTATGTAAAATGGAAATCAGTGCAAGGAACCTTGCTCTGTATGAGTTTTCACATGAGCTAAATCATTGTCTTAAGTCGGTTATAGCACAAGCCAGTATCCAGGCATTTTTGGAAAGTGTTCTTCCAGTCTAGTTCCCTAGTGCCTCAGATGCTTAGATGCACCCTCTTTGTTCACATGAAGTAAAATGTGATCGGTTTTTATTGCTTAGTTTCAGTTGTTTGAGGTCAGTAGTCTTAGGAGAATGTGCTGCCCCTGGTGGCAAGATCATGGAACAACTGCAGTTAAAATGGCATAGAAATCATTGTAGTATGCGGTATCAGCAGAAAGGTTTCACCAGGCTGGTAACGTACAACAATTCAGTGTGGATCCTGAACGAAATTTTAAGTGCAGGAAAGCAAAGAAGTGTGCAGTGCACAGATTAGTTAATAAATCTGAAACAGATGGAAGCGTGATCGACGGAAGGCTTTGTCAGTGATAAGTGTGTTAAGACACCAGAAAGTATCCCCGTTTTGAGCATGTGTTGAGGAGAGTGGCAGGAAAAGTGTAAAACATCTTTCTCTGCACCTCAGTTTGGGAGCACTTTCAACATATGCGATAATTCCAGAAGATGTAAAAACTGAACCATCTTTATAGGAAAACTTTTCCTCTTACACACCTGCTTGATCAGGTAGCTTTATGTAAAGTATTCATGCAAAAGAATGAAGATGTCTCTGGCCTACATATGGTTTAGCAATCTACATGTTAGGAAGATATTTTAACACACATGCAAGCATACCTCTTAGGTGGTGATGTGCAGTAAAACAAAATCTGCAAGAGAAAAGCTGGCACTAACTGCAGAAAACACCAAAGGATTGAGTAAATAGGCCAGAATCTCGTACATATTAAACAGTAGTACCATTGTGCATGGGCTGCTGGGCACTGCTTGATTTTCTGACCAACATATAACCAATACTCTTTCCAAGTTATAGGATTTTGAGTGCCTGACACAAAATTGTACACCTTTGTTTGTTCCCTGCAACAACAAATTTATTGCAAGTGGTTAATTATTTGTCACAGACAGTGCTTTCCAAGATCTGTAACCTCTTTTGTGGTACAGATGTTCATGTATGTCATTTAATATTGTCACGTGTTAGGTGACTACGGACGGGTTGCTAATCGGATTTATTAGAGACTTATAACAGCTTGTGACTACACTTCACATACCAGCAGACTAGCTTGTTATGTAACCTCGGGGCAGACATATAGATAACACAGCCTCCTCTGTTGCTGCATGTTGATTCACTGCTACAGAGATATGTTTATCGCACAGTTGCATAACAATGAGCAAGGCATGGACATGCAGAAAATTCTGCTTTTCATTTGTTGGGTGATGTCACAGCGTACATGACGCGTTCCACTGCTACGTGTGTATGGGCCATTACCTATGAACGGCTTTTTCTCTGCCTCCACAGATATTGCTTTGAACAAATATGCCACTATATATATATATATATATATATATTTCCTTCCACATTATGTTATTCTAAATTATCCAGTAATCCTCTCCATCCAGTCACTGGCCAATCCACTTATGTGTTCATAAATTCTCAATAAAATTTGGAGATATTTTTCTCCCTCTACAGACAGAATCCATACTTGGGTACCAGTAATCCTACTCTGTGGCTTTAGTCTACAAGCTAACTATACCGACCAAGCAACCGCCGCTTGTCAGCAAAATTAGTGCCAACTTTTGCAGATAGAGGGTGTCACGTGGTTAGCACAACGGATTCCCATGGTCGTTAATCTCGGTTTTCTAGACCGGAAGTACCAGTGATAAGTTCGTCACAAAATAAATAAAATTCTAACAACAATAATAGTAAGCAATATGTGAGACAAGAAATGTCTACGATAGAAAAACACGTTTGTTATGCTTAGAATGTCATATTTTTCTCTTTCATTAATAATTATCATGGCTGAATTGATTTTATTTTTGTAATACATTATACCATGGCTTATCAATATGTTGCACTGAGAATATAATTTATTTACCTGTAAACAGCCATTGCTGTTTCCCAGCCAATTGCAATCATTGCATTTGCACACATGTCCACAGGTATTAAGTCACAAACTTTTCTGTCATGGTACAGACAAATCTGAGTGCGCCCCAGATAGAGATCAGCAAGAATCCTGGTTACGCCATAAACATTGTTAATCCATCCAGGGTGTGGTTCCTTCCAGGCATTAATTACTGATTTACAAGAAGAATACAATTCAGTTGAGATATCATAGTAATCCTTCATTTTAATTATGCTGCTGCCTATTTATATCTTAATTTTGCAACTGAATTATTCCCTTGTTATGTAGGATATGAAGTTCTCACAGTGGTGGTTATGAAGAGTTCTATTTTCTGGGATATAATGCAAAAAAACGTAGCAAGCAGAACTGCCTGCTACGTGCTTAGTGCTTGTTTCTTTCTTTGCTTATTCTTCAACCCTGAAGATGGAGGCAACATGATCCTTCAGAATATTGGTTAGCTTTCAACAGACTACATGACATTGTGTCCCAGAAGGTAGAAGTCTTTATTCATTTATTATTACAAACTTAATCCTCTAACATAACTATGTAATATATTGCTTCATTTACACGCATAAGTATTCTCAACATACTTAAGCCTACAGGTGCTATGTGCAAAAAGATTTTGAACTTCAGAAAACTGTTACCATGACATCTGGACCACATAGTCAGGAAACATCTGGAGGAGGTCATTCTTTACATTCTTATGTGAAGGTAAAAGTAAAATTGTCCCTGTGCTCAAAAAATTTAAGCACTATGCCATGAAGGCGTATAGGGGAGTGGATGTATGGATCCACATTTTCTTGATCTCAGCACTAGTTGGAGGTGAGTGGTCAGCTTTATGGCCCGACCACTTTACCCCCCGGGGTAAGAGTCCACGTTACCGATTGGATTGGAGGTTGGGTGGACCCCAGAGCCAGTCTGGGATGATTTAAAGAAAAGAAAATTCTTGACCCTACTTTACTGACCCCTCAGTCATCCAGCCTGTAGCCACATGCAATACTGACTGAGCTACCCCAGCTCCCAAAACTCTTATATTCTTAGAAATTATTAATCCATGAAAGAAGAGCAGCTCTGATTACCTAAAATGGTGGCTAGGCACTGTATGAATTAAAGCAGGCTCTTGTAGAGTTAAAATGATATTTGTTATTGAAGAGTTATGTCTTCTGGGATATAACATTGAATAGCCCATTGAGCCAACATTTTGGAGGAACGTGTCACCTCAATCTTCATGGTTGAAGAATCTGCCAAACAAGAAACCGAAATGAAGCAGGTAGCAAGCAGAAAAGTCTACCAACAGAGTGTGGGTAACCATGGTGATCATAACTATAAGAGAGTACTGCTTTAGATTTCAAGCATGGACATCTGTATACATTCACGTTATCTTAACATCATGATAACTTCTCCAATTAGGGCCACAAGTACATTTGAAAACAGTTAAGGCTGAGATTACAGTCTTCCTGTAGCCTGCAGCTTCTGAACTGAAGGTTGAGGCGGCAGGTTCCTCTGAAATGTTGGTACCTGGCTACAAAAAAACATAGTATCACATCTTGGAAGACCATGGTCTTAACATTCGCTATCATGAAAACCTCAGATGTCTTGCAGTTCAGGTTAAGCACCAGATGATCTTAAGATGACAAAGAAAATTTGTAATTGCAAAGAGAAAGGATACAGAACTGCCTCACCCATTGAAGGTCTGAAGATTGCCACTGGCAAGTGCTTCTTATTCTTCTGAATCATGTCTTCTGCTAAAGCTTTGCTGTACGTATACGTATTCGGCCACTTCTCAACATCCCTGTAAATACAGAGACTTGTAGTAATCTGTGTTAATATTCACTCACTCACTCATAGAGCTGAGCCCTTCTTGAGAAGCCACCAATTGTGCAGCTACTCGAGAACATCCAGCATGTTAGGGAACCCACAGGTTCATTACCGTGTTCACAAGAGCCCTCTACTGGTCCCTATCCTAAGAAAGATGAATCCAGTCCATACCATACCAACCTATCTCTCTAAGATCCATTTTAATATTGTCCACCCACCTATGCCTTGGTCTTCCCAGTGCTCTCTTTCCATCTGGCTTTCCAAACAATATCCTACATGCATTCCTCCTTTCCCCCATTCATGCTACATGCCCTGCGAATCTCACCCTCCTTTACTTGAACATTCTAATTATACTTGGAGAAGAGTACAAATTATGAAGCTCCTCATTTATGGTTTTCTCCAACCTCCTGTCACTTCATCTCTCTTCGGTCCAAATATTCTCCTCAACACCCTGTTCTCACCCTCAGTCTATGTTCCTCCCTTAATGTCAGAGACCTTTTTACACGCATACAGAACCACGAGCAAAATTATGGTTCTGTATATTCTAATTTTTATGTTTTTGGGCAGCAGACAAGAAGAAAAAAGGTTCTAGACTGAATGGTAGCAAGCATTACCTGAGTTCAGTCTCCTCTTAATTTCCTCCTGAATCAGGTTTTGATTTGTTATACTTGTTCCCAAATATTTGAACTGTGCCACATTTTCAAAACATCTGTTACCTGTCTTAATAGTCTGCTTCCTGTTGTGTGTTATATATATGGTTTGTAGTCTACACAACAATTTTCTGTATTTAAAAAACAAAGAAAACACTACTGTATCAACATTTGTTCTTATTTTGTTTTTACATGTTTCGACCCTAATACCGGGCCATCATCAGGCAAACAATGCTCAAGCTTCAGCTATTTAATTCCAATTAATTGTTATCGAATTCTGCAAATACTCGTAAGGATCCTTATTATGTCTTGAAATTATTTAAATTCATAAATTGAGTCTTTTTGGTCCAAATTTTAAAATTCTTAGATGATAACATGTAAAATTAAAGATATAAAGGTTAAAATTAGAAACTAAAGATTAAAACATGTAAAATTGTACAGAAATGGAATAGAGATGTTCTGTGCTAAAACTCTGAGGCAGCGTCTATACGAGCGCACAAAATGCGTCCGTTGTAACGAATGTACTTTGCTGAGGACACCACACAGTTGCAGAATGCGGTGCGTAGTTTCATTGCAGACAAAAAAACTACGCACCGCATTCTGAAACTGTGTGGTGTCCTCAGCAAAGTACGTTCGCTACAACGGACGCATTTTGTGCGCTCGTGTAGACGCTGCCTGAGACCGCTACGTGGTGACCTTATTTTATGCCGGTAGAGGCGACTGTATCGTGAGGCTCCAGAGTACCGTAGTCTTCTTACATGGGATAGGTTGTCTAGTCATGACCTTAGTAATGTCTTACGGATGTATATATCTACTCCCCGCATACGCTTTCATGGCGTAGTGCTTAGTTAAGGACAAGAACAACTTTACCTTTTTATATGTATATCCAGAATAGTATTTTTCTATTAATAATTTTTCTTCTGTGTTCCATTTACCTGTACTTCGTCCCGTTTTCCCCATCCAAAATTTCTCCTTCAGCGGACAGCTTGAGGTCCATTGGATATATTTTCTCTTCAATCTCGCTGTGAGGACATTGTGAATATGCTGTAGACACGTACACCAGAGCCTGCGCACAGAGTTCACCTATCAGAACTATATGCAGCATGTTTAACTAATACCTGATACCTGGTTTGCTTCTCCAAATTCTTAAACCCAAAACATACATATTTTATCTCTAAAACATAGGGTTGTACAGAGCGGCCTCCGTAGTCTAGAGGTAACTTTCCCACCTCATGACTCGTAGTACGCGGGTTCAAACCCGGCGGAGGTCGTCGAATTTTTAAGGGCGGAAAAATTCAGGGAACAAGTCCTCCGGGAGGGACTTTAAGCCGTGGGTCCCGTATCGTAGCTTTACGGCACGTAAAAGAACCTCATACAGGAGGTCACTGAGCCAAATTCAAGGACATTTCCCGCCCAACAATAGTCTCTAACGCCTCTGATAGATGGGGGAAGCATTATAGATACCGCTAAGCCAGTAGAGGCCGAACTCGCTGGCTCGGTCGGGAGTGATGGTACGCACCAGTATCGGCAGAGTATAGAGACTGGTAGAATGTCATAGAGGGAAGCACAATGGACCAATACTGGTCTAAGTGCATGGGGAAACCCACCCTCTCCAGTAACTAACTAATCCACCGAATGTCTGCATTCTCAACACTACCTGTGATCTGTGAATTGTAATTACTTCATTCCGAATGTTATCAGCCAACAGGCTTATTGATTCATTGGTAAAATTCGTAGCCGCCTCGCAACCGGCGGCACACCGGTCGTCGTGAAGCGCAGCGCCGTGAACCGATCAACAGATGTAAGAATTTGCCTCTATTATTGATAAGGCAAAAAGAATCCGCGATAGCTCAGTTAGTATGGCGACTGGCTGGAGGCTGGAAGGCCGGCTCCTACCCACTGCGTTTCCTGGGGATAAAATGGCCAGAGCGTGAAGCTGACAACTCATCACTCACTCAGTGCTGAGGTCAAGAACTGCAGAGCTGTACATCCATTCCCCAATATACGTATATTCAAACATTGTGCTTAATTAATCTGAGACTTATATTTGAAACTTTTGTTTAACATAATGGTTATTAACGAAATACAAATAATTTAGTGTCTTTAATGTGATTAACTCTGCAAAGAATGGAATTATATTGCAATAAATGAACGAAGCTATACCAGCGGTAGCGTAGCTACTGGCAGGGCCTGCCTTGCTGGACAGGTCAAAGGGTAGGCATCAGACGAAGAGAGACACCAAAAACCAAAAACTGATGCCGGAAACAGCGTCATCAGCAGCAACTTGAAGCACAGAGCAAATGATGCCCGAGATGGTTCAAGTTCGTATAGCAACAGACGTGACCAGAGTAGTTTGAACGGCTGCTGTGCTGCGATGTGGAAAGCAAATGGAAAAACTACCACATTATCACTTTTCCTGGATAGTCTCTTTCCAAAAACAGAGATACCATGTATGCGAACCAGAAGACGTAAGAAGATGCTGGATGACCTTGGGGACAGAAGAGGATATTCACATTTTAAGGAGAAATCTCTAGTGGAGGAATTGTTTTGGGAGAGACTGTGGACCTGTCACCTGACAGATTACTGATGAATGAATGAAATGAACGAAAAGGCCAGAGAAGTATGAAAACATCAATTAGTAATAACTATGAGAAATACATATATATATATATACTTCCGAAAAGATATAATTTGGGACAGTAGCACAAAAAATAATCAAAAAGAAACAAAATATATACTACTATGTCAACATTTGTTTTTATTGGTGCTCATGTTGTGTGTATATGATTATTGTATATTGACAATTATATCTTAATTTTAAAATGTGGTTCAAATATAATTAATATTAGACATTAAACTTGACATTAAATGGATACAAGTTATAATTCTAATTCAAATGGCTGTTAAAGCATTTATTACCTATATTAAAAACTCCATTTAAGCCTTGTGCCTGCTACATATCGTATTTTTGTTGTTCCACTATGTTAGTGATACTGATTAATGTCGCAATTCAGAAGATAAATTAGTATTTGTGTACACCTGAAGATTACCCAAGAAAGGGGCTCGAAACATGTAGCGGTACCACCAGAAACGAATAAAATCAAATGTTGACACAGTAGTGTCTTTTGTTTCTTTTTGATTATTTGTTGTGCGACTTTCCCAAATTATACATTTTCGTAATTAACACACAACAAAATCAGGTGGACCGATTATGTGAGAAATGAAGAAGTGTTAATTACAGTCAGTGAGCAGAGGAATATCCTACACGAAATAAGAAAACGGAAGGCTAATTGGATTGGTCATGTTTTACGTAAAAACTGCCTTCTAAAAAAGTTATCGAAGGAAAGATAGAGGGGCGGATAGAAGTGACAAGAAGACGAGGAAGAAGACGTAAGAAGATGCTGGATGACCTTGGGGACAGAAGAGGATACTGTCATTTTAAGGAGAAAGCTCTAGATCGCATTAAATGAAGGAATTGTTTTGGAAGAGACTGTGGACCTGTCGTCTTCACAGATTACTGATGATGATGACACAACAAGATACATGTCATAAAGGTTAGAATAGAGATTAACACTGTGCTTTCTTTACCTTGATTTCTGGTAGCTCATGACATAGCTGCAGCACACCAAGAACTGACAGTGTATTTGCCTTTATAGCAACATGGAGTGGCTTATTGAACTTGACACTTGCGGCAACGTGAAATACTATAGACACGTGACTTTTCAGTATGAGTTCACGATCCTCACTGGAGAGTCCTAACCCTGGCTCCTCGATATCTGCTTCCACAGCGGACACTTTCAACAGCTTCTCTTCAGGCACTTCCGAGAACACCTATACAAAATGAAGCAAGATTGGAAACGGTGTACACCGCGAAGTAGAACACAAAATTCCTTCGAAGTTTGGTTAAAAATATAAATAATTAAATATATTAGTGAGTCTGTGTTATAAAATGTCGAAAATTCTGTAAAATTTTACGGGATAGGTGAAGAATTGAATTTATGACATCCAAATTAAGCTTTAATATGGCCAGTATGGCCGAAAATCTAACTTGCTTTACAACTATCGGTGGAAGTCTTTTATATCGAATTTTAACATCTTTCAAACAATTTATACGATATATGGTGAAGTCCATTTATAGCCTTACATAAACAATATGGCTGAAAATTTGAATTTCCCGACAAGCTTTGGTAGAAATATACCGGATTATAACAAAATCTGTGAAACCGTGACCNAGGTCTCAACTTCGTGGCCTGTAGTCCGCAAGCGAACTATACCGACCGAGCGACCGCCGCTTGTCGGCGAAGTTAATGCCAACTCTAGTGGATAGAGGGTGTCGCGTGGTCAGCGAAACGGATCCCCACGGCATTTAATCTCGATTTTCTAGACCGGAGCCGCTATTTCCTTGAAATAGCTCCTCGATTATCCTCACGAGGCTGAGTGGACTCCGTTCCAGACCCACTACTTCTCAGAAAATCTGGTAGAGCAGGGAATCGAACCCAGGACTTCTGGATCTGTAGCCACTAGATCACAGAGGCGGTCTATGATACATGAAATAGTTCATTTATAGCGTTATGTAAAGTAGGTTTTATTATAGATGACTATGATTAAAAGGGGATTTCCCGATAAATTCTGGTTGAATCATAGGGTGAGTAGTCGCACGGTTTAGGCACTGGTCTTAAATCACGCAAAAAAAAGAGGCTGACATGTGACGTTCACAGAAAGTGATTTTTTTATTTTTTAACAAACAATAATATAAAACGCGTGTTCTAATAAAACAAAAAAAAAAAAACAAACTCAGTGGTTTTAGTGCGCAAGCGAAATATAGCGTACTCTAATTCCTGATTAAAAGTAAACTTTTCTTCATCTTTTTGCGATTATGATATGTTATGGTTGCTTTCCTACTTGTATTCGCAAAAGAGAAAACACAGAAGATGTACGCCCGTTAATTTTTGTGCTGCGTGCAATGAATACCAAATGAACTGTACTTTTTTTTTTCCTTGGCACTACAGCCCCAGTGGGCCTAGGCCTACCTCCATGAACTTCTCCGTTCACTTCGGTTTTTCTAGATCTTACACATTCGGTAGGACTCCTTGGGCGGGTGATCAGCTCGTCGCAAGGCCTCTACCTGTACACAAACACAGAAAAACGCACACACACAAACTAAACAGCCATGCTCTGAGTGGGATTCGAACCCACGATCCCGGTTTCCAAGCGCGCTAAGACATTACATGCCGAACTATACTTTACTGTACAAATTTTTAAGAAATTTATAACTGTGATCCATATTTTTAAGTTCTACAAGAATCGTAAAACTAGTTACTTTTTTGTCATGCATCCTCAAGGGGCTGAAACATGTAAGGATACATATCGAATTCAAACTATTCTAAATTTCTTGCACTGGATGGTTTGTTACTGCGTTAATTAGGATCTCGGTGGGTTCAGCTTCTTCCTAGCATAACTGCTATGTTGTCTGTTTACCCTTCCGCCCCAACAAGCACTGACATATCCACACCTCATTACTGCTTGTCAGTATCTGTGGTCTAGTGGTCAGAGTTCCGGGCTACAGATCCAGACGTCCGGGTTCGATTCCCGGCGCTACCAGATTTTCTGAGAAGTAATGGGTCTGGAACGGGGTCCACTCAGCCTCGTGAGGATAATTGAGGAGATATTTCAAGGAAATAGCGGTTCCGGTCTAGAAAACCGAGATTAATGTTCGTGGGGATCCGTTGCTCTGACGACGCGACACCCTCTATCCGCTAAAGTTGGCACTAACTTCGCCGACAAGCGGCGGTCGCTCGGTCGGCATAGTTCGTTTGCAGAATATAGGCCACGGAGTTTGTTTTGTTTGTAAGCTTAATTTTTGCTATTTACACTGCACTGCCCCGATACTATAATTATTATTCTTGTTTTAGTACATTCATTGCCAATTCATGAATGGTATTACTTTTACTTAACTTGCCTTGGGCGACCTCTGTGTTAACCACATCGTCGTTGCCCCGTTGTTGGGGTGGTGTGTCAGTGCAAGAAATCCAGTGTTCCCGTTGGCGTGCAAAAGAATTAGAAGAAATTGGAAACATGTTTATTCGGGGTTTACCCAGTAGACACAGTAGACAAGTGGTTCTTAATTGGTGGCTCGCGATCTCCAGGACATTCATCCAACATAAAAGTTAAAGGTAAAGTTATCTCTGCGCTTAACTAATTAAGAACTACGCCATGAAGGCGTATGGGGAGTGGATGTATTTTTTTTTCCTTGGCACTACAGCCCCAGTGGGCCTAGGCCTACCTCCATGAACTTCTCCGTTCACTTCGGTTTTTCTAGATCTTACACATTCGGTAGGACTCCTTGGGCGGGTGATCAGCTCGTCGCAAGGCCTCTACCTGTACACAAACACAGAAAAATGCACACACACAAACTAAACACCCATGCCCTGAGTGGGATTCGAACCCACGATCCGGGTTTCCAAGCGAGCGAAGACAGTTCATGCCTTAGACCGCTCGGCTACTGTGACCGGCAGTGTATAAGAATAATATATAAGAATTCAGTCCGTACCTCACAGGAAACAGATCCGAACCCACGATCCCGGGCTCCGAGCGAGCGAAGACAGTACATGCCTTAGACCGCTCGGCTACCGTGACCGGCGGAGTGGATGTATAGATCCACATTTTCTTGACCTCATCACTAAGGGGAAGTGAGTATAGGATGTTCCTCCGAAATATTGGTATATACCAGACTGTACAGTATAACCCACAATTTTTCATCGCGAAAATAAAAAATGAAATTTTTTAATTATTGCGTAACCTATATTTCTTTGGGCCCAATGATGAGATGAATTACTTGGGTTCAGTGCCACAACCCGACTTCTGAAGCAATAAGACAAAGAATAAATGTACTCAAACTAAGTAGAAAGTGAAGGCCGCGTCATAGCTCAAGCGGTTAGTCGCTGGCTTCCCACCGCGGCGTCCCCGGTTCGATTCCGGGTCTAGTCAAGTGGGATATGTGGTGGACAAAGTGGCGCTAGGCCAGGTTATCTCCGAGTATTTCGGTTTCCCCTGCCAATCTTCATTCCACCAATTGCTCCACAATCACCCTCACCTATCATCTGGGGCTGGTACAATAGGCCAGAAGTGGCCGCAGTACACGGGACGTAGTCCCACCCCACTAGCAATAAGAGAAAAAAGTAGAACGTGAAAACATGGGCCGTGCCATAGCGCTGGCGGTTAATCGCCATTGTCTCTGGTTTACCACGGGTCATGTCATATTTGATTTGTAATTTAAAAAAATGACACTGGAGCAGGTTCACTCCGAGTATTTTGGTTTCCCCACCAAATCTCACAGTAACAGTTTTCTTAAACGGAATCATATCACACTTACTGAGCTGGATAAAGTTGCAGAAAGCCTGCCTGTGACGGTTTCTTCTTTGTTTTTTCTCAAGAGCACAATTATGCCCTCGATATCTGGACACGACAGAAGCAATTTCACTAGCAGCATTTTTCCCAGAAACCCAGTTGCTCCTGTGAGAAGTACAACCTTCCCCTGGTAAAATTCTTGCAATGTTGTCACCATTTCTTTCTACAGTTTGAAGCAGAAGACGAATATGAAAAGTTAAATAGTTCCTTGTAGTGTCACTGGTGAAGATTTTTCTTATTTCATTTATATATACCCTTACATGTTTCGGTCTTCAGAGACCATCTTCAGAGGGACACCTTTACATCAATACAGTTGGAATACATATTCTAAAAGTTAAAGTATATACATACAATTGGGTATAAAAGCTAAATTCTTTACAACTACAGCTGCTGTCCCAATACGTTAAAATATTTATAGTTAGTTTGTTAAGATTCTATTGGAATTCGTAAACCAAGCTGGTTCGTGTCGTCCCTCTTATTATTTCTTTTGATGGGGGGCCAATGTTTGCCCCCTTGTTCTCGAGAAGAGGATTCTTTGATGTTGTCCTGTGTGTGTTTCTGGCCCGCTGTGTTGTGACGAACACTTGTGAATAGGCTGTTAGTAACGCAGTTTTATAACAAAGTAATTTTTACGCTGGTCAATTGCATATGTCTCTTTCCGCTGTATATAAAGACATCAATAAGAAAGGACTACCAGCGGATGGGAGCTTCGCTCAGTATTCGCCCACAGGGACACTTCTGGGCCTCTGCGAATTTCATGCTACTAATAAGATTTAAACAATATTCTTATAAAATCTGGCTATTTTAGAAGAGGTCACTATCAAATAGAAAAGGTGGCAGATTCTAAAGGGGCCCATCCACGTACGAGTCCGGCTCGGCGAGCTTCACTTCGGAGCCGGGCTCGGATTAATTTCACCACAAACACATGAGCTGATTCCCAAATTTGCGACCCACACACGGACGAGTTTGGCTCATTGGAACCCGAGCTGAGTCATACTCGCGAGCCAGACTCGTACGTGTATGGGCCCCTTAAAGTGTTCTGACTGTGGTGTATAACACTCGGAATTACTGGGTTTTTGAACTTCTTATTCATCGTCTGATGTTCTATAGGACATTAAAGAACACGGCGTTCTGATATGATGTTAGCGCTTTCTACTCCCCCCTCTTTTGAGGGCGGAAACAGATCCCAGTTTCCGAATTTTTTAGTTAATTAGCGTTCTTTACCCCACCGATGGTGTCACCACCTTATCGCTGCGGTGGGATTTGAGTGCTCCTGAGACCCTGAGAGTTATGCCGGCGGTAGCGTAGCTACTGGTAGGGTCACACATGCCGAACATGTCACTGGGTAGGAGCTAGACGAAGAGGGATACCCTGCTCCTCCAAGTTGGAGGCTGGCGGGAGGCTAACAACGGAAATCGACAACAGCGAAAGAGCTGAGATGGGTGGAGGATGTGTACTGATGATCTCCATAAACTGAAAGTGAAAGGACGGGGAGGTAAGATGAAGAACAGAGAAGAACGGAGGCAGATTGTTCAGGAGGCCAAAGCTTGCCCTGAGCTGTAACGCCGAGGGGACGGAAGTGTTCTTTAAATTACTGGACGATGGACAAAGTCCAAAAATTCAATAATTCCGAGAAAGGGATATGTTTCGATTCAGAGTTCGTTGCCTCAAAAGAAAAGTAAAGAACATTTTACAGTCCGCAAAAAGAAATACGTGTAATAAAGGACAAAGAATCCGTATTGTGAGGACTTCCGAATGGCGAAGTACCGATTCTGTTTTCTGTGATTGGGAACATTTGTCTGATAAAATTCATATCCAGAATGGTCTACAACAAGGAGCTGCTTTATCGCCACTCCTTTTCAGCTTTGCTTTAGAATACGCAATTAGGACGGTCCATGGAAACCAGGTGGGACTGAAATTAAACGGAACACATCAGCTGTTGGTCTACGCCGATGATGTGAATCTACTGGGTGATAATGTAGATACCATAAAGAAGACACACAAACTTTAATTGACGCAAGTAAAGAGGTTGGTCTAGAAGTAAACACTGAGAAAACTAAGTATATCTTGATGTCTCGTCACCAAAATGAAGAGAAAAACTCATGACATAAAGATAGGAAACAGATGTTTTGAAAATGTGGCACAGTTCAGATATTTGGGAACAACGATAACAGATCGAAACCTGATTCA